CGTTATGAACAAAAATGTTCAGTGTACAAAATTAATGTTTATGTATCTGATTTTAATAAATATTATTGAAGTCCACTGTTTCATGGCAAGGGTTTTTTTTGCTATCCTTTTAGATCGCATAAAAGAACTCAAGAAATTAAATCATTCAATATTTATTAACTTCCTGGAGCTGCTGGATATTCTTATTAAATCACCTTCATCCTCCAAGGTAAATTATTATTTAGACTAAAAACACGCTCAATAGAGATTGGTCCAAGCTGATTTTAAGTTGCATGGTATGATCTAATAGGGCTAAAAAAGGGCTAGCTCCTGTCTTTATCTTGCCATCAGTCTACACACTTGTGCTTGGAAAGGTATCATGTTTGCTTACTACAAGTAGTTCAAAGCTGTAAATACCAGGAAAACATTATCTGCACAGCATGCAAGGAAAGTTGTCTGTCATATATAGAGCCCAGGACAAGTGCTTTGGGCTACTGGATTTTGCAGTCAGGCTAAAATCTAATTACATAGGGAGCAAACTAGACTTGATGACATAAGACCTCAGATAGACGTTTGTTTTTACCTTCATGTATTGTAGGAAAAGCAATCCCATAAATTTAGGAGTGTGACTTAATTAACACAAAATGTTGTTTTTGAAAGTTTGCAATCTAACCTTGTGACCACTACAAAGTGACTAACATGCAGGAGTATTCTATCCCTCCTTGGATGGAAACCTTGTCCTCTGTTGCTCCGTTATAAATGGGCATAAGAGGGGTACTGTACGAACACAATATAATGACCCTAACCAGAGCTTGAACCTGGAGCACTCAGTTCAGAGCACAAACCATCAAGACCAACATGCCTCTCCTTAAGGTCATAAAAATAGAGAACAAAAAAGAAATATCCTCAACTTTATGCAATGTAGTTATTACCTTGAGTAATGTTGTCTCTTTTATTCACTTTCAGAGAGAAGAAAAACTTGATGACTTAAACCTGCTATTTATTAATATTCATCACTTGATCAATGAACTCAGGCCTCACCAGGTTTGTAATATGTTTTTATTTGTTTGGTTATTTTTCTTTACTGTTACTTACGGAGATTTATAATTCAGGATATGGGATACCAAGCTACTGCCATTTTAATTGCTATCAGGTTACACACTCCTTCATTTGCAGCTTTTTCCAGTTCCTTATTGTGGCAATGTAGCGCTTGTGCTTGCAACTAAATCTGAAAACTTAGGGACCAGCTGGCCCCAAGGTTTTTTCCTGAAAGTCGAGCTCTGAAGGGGAGTTTTGGACTGACTAAATCATAGGAAAGTTAACCAGTATAAGGAATATCAAAAAGTTTTGTTTAAAGTATTATCGAGTGGAGATATTGAAGTCTTGTTGCTACATTTTAGGCACGAGAGACATTAAGAGTGATGATGGAAAGGCAGAAACAGCAGAGACTGGAAACAGCCGATAAACTGAACAAGTAATGGCTTTCATTCAGAATCCTTTAGATGAGATGGAGTCTGAGAGCTTACTTGGAAACTGTCAAGCTCAAATCAATTAGTTCATGCAGTTGAAGTGAACCTCACTGACTTTTCAACCCCTATTTAGCAAAACAGTGTCCCAAACTCTTTGTTTTTATTGAGATATTATCCTAATGAACAATAATGGATCATTGTTATTAACTTGAGAAATTCATTGAAAGTGGTTGTTGTCAAAGAAGCTGCTTTTTTTTGTTCAAAACATTTGTGTACCTGGCCCCAGTTGTTTGAAGACTAGATAACGCTATCCACTGGATAAATCATTATCCGCTGCATAAATCGCTATCCAGTGGATAAGTATTAACAAAACCATGCTATCCGCTAGATAGTGATTTATCCGGTGGATAGCATTATCCACCTTTCGAACAACCCAGGCATGGAGTTCCAAACCTCTGGGTTAACAGAGGTATTTGGGAGCCCGTTGATCTTAGTTTCTTCAGTTTGTTTCTTTAGTAAGATGATCAATCCTGTTCTGTTTATCATTTTTTCCACAGGCATTTGGACAGAGTAGTGACAATGCTTCAGTCTTGTTTATCATCATTACAGATAGCATCTAGACAACAGGATAATTCATTTGAACAAATGGAGGTATGTATGAAATCTCTGTCCATAAATTTTCGTACTCAGTCCATGGAATAACAAGAAAAATTCCTGGCAAAATTGTTTATAATCTTTAACAGAGATTATAGCCTACATACACTCTGTTAGACAGGTGTTAGAGGTAGATAGGGCACATGGCTTTGGGAGTATTCATGGAGTGGTTTTTCATGGATGTGCTCTTTCTCTGCTTTTGCTCCAGTCAAATGCAAGACTGTGGTCTAAGAAAAATTACACAGAGTCCAAATGTTCATAACCATGAAATCCTGGGTGCCCAGCACTTAAGCTTTTATGAAAAAAGTAAATTTTTGCAGTCGCCCAAAGGCAAAAGTTAGTTGCCTGTGGCACCTTGGCACTTTTAGAGCACAGTCCTGAAATGTTTACGATTATTAGTTCTGAAATTGATGTTAGTCTGTCTAATTACCAGGTTGATGAATCCAGCAAGCACACAGAGGATGACGAGCAGTTTACCAGAGAAGATGAAATTATGTGCAGTGTTCTGGAAGAGATCTCTTAGCTATATTTTCTTGTTTTACACATAAACTTACCATGGCATGTAAATGTGTAAATGCAAAATTAGTTCACAAAATCCCTTCCCATTTTTTAAGATTTCTTGACAAGTGCAGTGAGCTTTATAAAACAGAAATACATGCACTGTTTTGTTAGAGAGGATCTGCCAACTCAGAAAAGTGCAGTTTCACTTTCATAATTGCTATGTGAAGAGGAAAAGGTGAGCCCTCATGCATCCCATGGTGCTGCAAGGGAGGACGAAAGAGGAATACTTACACTGTCATCAGTTGTTCTCATCATGGAATTCCTGCTAGCATATCATCTATTTAGCAACATTACAATCACCAAACAACAACATAGCACAGATTTTAGGGGGAAAAAAAAGATCAGTGACACAGGATTGCCTTTGCCAAATTGCCTTCAGTATAGGATGCTAGTGATATATTAGTAACAGTTCTGTTCCAGAAAATCTCCATCTTATCATGGAGGACTTTTTTGTTTGACCCTGAGTCTCTCCTCTATAAGTTTCAGCTAAACTACATGTTCATACTTTCCTTTAAACATTTTGGTTTCTGTGGCCCTCCACCTCCACCAGTTAGAGTTCCAACAACCCTCTTAGGAAATGTGTATTTTTTTATTTTTTGAAATCATGCAATAATTATTTTGTATGAGCTGTTTCTTTTGTAAATTTACACGTAGCTATTATACTGTTAGGTGGGTAATGTTAGGAAAAAAAGAAAGAAAAGAGCCGTTCCATTTTGGCTTAAACAATAAATCTTTAGAGCTAGTATTTATTTAAATTATACTCTATCTATGTAAATATAGAGATCTCTTGTACAGAATTTTGCACAAACAAAGTGTTTTTGTAAATAAACTGCTAAATATGTGTCACTTGTGTAGGTGGTATCTTTGACGTAATAAAGTACACCTTGGAGTTGGGGGAAGTTACAGATGGCTATCTGCAAAGAATAAAAACTCCAGAGAGGTGCGGGATTGTTTTTTCAATTGAACACTGGTACAGGTATTTTGGCAGTGAATACCGGTTTATGGTGGTGTTTTAGATAAGTTGTGTTCTTTTCTTTGTTGGTAGGGAGGGGAGTTATATTTGCACCGCCTCTAACATGCGATCATATCCTTCCTCCCTTCATACAATGCATCATCACTTGTACAGTTTGTAAATTAAATCTTTAATGCTCAGTGGGTTTTTGGCAGAATGTACTTACATACTTTTGAAATGGGTCTTTTTGGTTTGTATTAATAAAAACAATATTTGGTCAGGATTTATTTTTGATAGCAGAGACTATTATATGACTCTACTCTTGAAAAAAAAAAAAAATCCAAACACAGTGAAACCCGCATTGTGGGGACACCATAGAACTCTCACTAGTGTCCTACTAAAAAAAGGTTAAGTTGGTATCCACTGTTCAGACTTCAGCTAAGAGAGAGATTTGAACACACGTTTTCAGCAAAATACAGTTGACAGGATATCGCACGATCCTAGAAAACTCTCTTTATGCTCCGTAAAAATGTACGGTTACCATCTTTCCAAGAACTTGTTCTCTTACTACGAACTTTTCTCCAAGATGCGCTGCTGTCACGTTTTCCCGCCAAGAATCACAGCTGATGCCTGAGCCTTCCCTCCCCTGTCCCCCTCACCCCCCTCTTCCCTAAAAAAATGACAATTTTCTCACCCCAGTCCCTTCCACTAGAAGCAAAAATGCAAGATGGCGGACGATTGCGTTGTAGAGATAGTCGTCCTTTGAAAAAGACAACAATTTCTGTTATTCGCGTATAACTATAGCTTTTCCTTGTATTTATCATGCTTTGGTCGCTTCTTCGAAATGCTACTCAGAGGGGGTTATCTTGGAATACCCCGTGTCTTTTCCAGAGGTCAAGATTCTCTGGGTTATGTAAGAGTTTTGATGTTATTTCAAGTCACTTTCGACATGGCCCACATCGAAGGACAATTTACACTAGATGCTACAGAGAACTTGACATAGCAAAGGGATCCATCTACCAACACGCGAGATGCCTGAAATTCCTTTCAAGTTTGTTGCCGAATGTAAATCGTCGTTTTGTTGGAACTCGTGTCGGCTTGAACAGTACTTCAGCCTCTAACATGCGCAACAAAACAACAGCAATATATACAATCGCCGTAGCAGTAGCAATTGTGGGGCTCTCTTACCTTGCTGTACCTCTTTATCGCCTTTACTGTCAGGTTAGTGAGTGGTTTATCATGGGCCAGTTTATGAAGTGAATTCAACGTTCCTTGCCCTACATTGTAGTATGGGGAGGGGCATTTCAGAAGCTGAACTATGGGAGTGGGGGTGGGTGCTGCTGGGCAATTTTCTAGGGCATGGAATTCAGTTTGTGCATGATTTTTTGGGTGGGCAAAAGCTTGTGCAATAATTTTTTTACCTTAAAAAAAAAACAAAAACAAAAAAACAGAACCTGGATAGTAGAAAGCACTTTTCCTAAAGGCTCCCCTTGCATGAGTTTTTCTCAGCAGTTTTAGCTGTGCAGGAATGTTATTTTTGGAAATAGCCCAAGCCCCCCCACCCCTTAACAAATGATGATTTGACTTGATGGTTGACAATCAATCCTTATTGCTCGAAATGAAAAAGGCAATGTGACCATGTTGGATGTACACTCAGAAGAAGCTCATCTATTGGAAATCTTGTATTCACATGGAAACCAGGACTATGTACTGTCTGTATGACTGAATTGACTGAAACTAGTAATTTCATGTGTGAAGCAAAGTGGCATTGGGTTTTCCTTCTTGTGGAAATAGCTGATAAATAACCATGCTTTGTCTTGGTACTCTTGGTCGCTGCTAATGGCACAAACATAATGCAACATGCTATACTACAATGAACATCGCAACATTAGAGCTTATTCTGGTTTGCATAGCAATTACTCACCATGACTGGTAACCATTTTAACACTTGGGTGGAGGGCAAGGTCACTGAGAATTCTAATGATTTTTTGTATGTTTAGGCAACAGGTTTAGGTGGCACAGTGAAGAGAGAAGAGGCTGGTGAAAAGATTGAGCAAATGGAAAGAAAGCCAGAAAGAGATCTTCTCATTAGGTTTAATGCAGATAAGAGTGCTTCCATGCAGTGGAACTTCAGACCTCAGCAATCTTCAATCAGGGTAGGCCTTGAGCATGAGGGATATAATTTGGATTTACAGTTGAACAATAGGCCATTTCTTAGTTGTTTTTTGTCTTTGTGTCAAAATGAGTCTTTTTGCAAAACCATTCATGTGAAAATGTGTTTCCCCTACAGGTTCATTTTCATGTACATGTAAATCAAACTCATTTTCATATGAAAGGTTTTGCACAAGGACTAGCTTTTGAAACAGAGGCACAAAGTAACTCGGAAATGGCCTATTGGACCAAAAAACATACCCACTTAAACACAAGAGGCGTCTACCCATGGGAGGTTAAAAATCTAGTGTTTGTACACGTGTGGCTGAGGGCCATGGCAAAGTGTCCAGAAATGAGAAGTGTTCATTCACAGGTGTGCCTGTTAGCAGAAGTTTCACTGTATCATCTATCTCTCTTCTCATAGCCTACTTGTAGGTAAATCTGGATATGATTTCACATGTAAACCAGAGCTACATGGTTACAGAGTCATCTGCATAGCAGAGCCCCATTGCTACAGGTTTTTGTGAAAGCCGAGGAAGCTTTTAGAATTTGTAAGCGATATCTCAAGTAGAGAATGGCCAAAAAGGGAGACGAGTTCCAGAAAAGGTGTTATTAGATTTGGATTTCGTGATGTCCAGAATAGTATATCTAAGTGTTATCATACAGTGGTACAGTTTGTACTTCTCAACCAATACTAGCAATAACTATTTTTCATTCCTGATTTCATTTATGCGGAGTATGTGTACCACCTGCACGGGCCTCTCAGCTGGCATACTTCAGGTTTTGGCTTGTGTATCAGAAGAAAATGGAGATAAGAGCCGGCCTGATGGGCCACTTGGCTCATATGCAGACTTTGCCTTTTACCCTGTAGAAGACAATCTCGCACAGAGGAAAATTATCCTTACTTGGTGTGCTAATGCTTTTGCTTTCAGCTTGTACCAGGAGAGACAGCTCTTGCCTTTTACACAGCTACCAATCCAACTGATGAACCCATAACAGGAATTTCGACATATAATGTGATTCCCTTTGAAGCAGGACAGTATTTTAACAAGATCCAAGTAAGCCACCTTGCAATGGAAGAGTTGTTTATGAAAGTACCTCTTAACAAAATTACAAGTTTTGTCTGACTTTCAACTTTCTTAGAGAAGGCTAGCATCACTTTTTATCAGGGTCACTTGATGTTATTTATGGGTACCTTATGTAGTTTACAAATAAAATTCAATTGTCCATGTGGTCTGCTTTAATATACAAATAGTTTGTTACATTATCTATCTAGGCATTCCAGCACTGCTATTATGTATGATTATTTGCTATTATTTTTCCTCTGTTCTTTTCTTTGAGAACAAGAAGTCTCATGATTTGTATGACACAAGACAGGTTGCTTATTCAACTTTTACTCCACAGCACTTCTAAGACAATATCTATAAGACCAGTGAACTGGAAAGGGAGGTTACCATTTTGCTTTTTTTTCTATGGACATGATTAATCATTAACACTGTTATTTCCTTGACAGTGTTTTTGCTTTGAGGAACAGAGGCTAAATCCACATGAACAGGTTAGATGAATTGTTTGCTGAAAGGACTGAAATCTAATCAATATTTCAAGAGTAAATTATTGTGATATCTTTCCATTTTAATGACATTCATAAGAGAATCCTTCAAAGTCACTCTTTACCATTATAACTTTAATTTGCTCGATGTTCACGGATATCGGATGGTAAGCTTGGTAAAACATGCGACAGGAGGCAAGTTCGGGAGAACATGCAACTGTCAGCAGGTGTGGGAAGACTTGAAACCGGCAGAGGATGAGAGGAAGATCGTGTAAAATATCTTGTGGTTGGTCTAGTCTTACAAATCACGACTAAACCAGCGTACATGTATAATTACACTTATTACTATTTTAGAGTGTCTGCTTCATTTCAGACATGTAATTGATCTTGGTGATTTGTTGCCAGGTTGATATGCCAGTGTTCTTCTACATCGATCCAGAATTTACGGAGGACCCAGCCATGGTTAAAGTGGACATCATTACTCTCTCGTACACGTTTTTCGAGGCAAAAGAAGCCGAGAAGCTTGGTTTATAGAAGTATCAGTGTGACAGAGTATATAAAGAAAGTTAATTTGATATCCCGCTATCAGACGTAAAACGGCCGTGAAACACAAACGAGATGCTTTGTTGTTTTTTGTGCCTTGTTTTCCTCATCATTCCTCTCCTTATCTACTGAGTCGCTGTTAGTATGTAAGGGTTAACTTTCTGTATGCGGGTAAAGCACACCTAACTTGAAGAGCATTTCTGAAAAAGACTGCTTGTTGGGAACTTGTGTAAACGAGAGGAGAGGAGAGGAGAGGAGAGATACTGAAACGTCTGTCAGACTCACAATGACAAGCTACTGAGAGTGTGAAAATTAACAAAGCTTAACAACAAGAAAATGGGGAAAGTTCATACAGTTAGTGCATTATAACCCTTTTTGTTCCCCAGAGTGACCAACAGTTTATTTTGGCAAATATTTATGATATTATTTTCGCAACAGTCATTCCTGGTGTTATTGTTTACGCATAAATAAACGGTCTTATCAACAGCCCTCTGCTATTAGTTTTGGTGAGTTGTCATTGAAAACAAATGGAAGATTATTGGTCCACGCAACCATAAGTTACTTTCATTGGATTTTGCTCACGGGCAATAGAGACAACATCCCATCACGTGATTGTTTTGTAGTGGAGATGACTGGCTCCTCTCAGGTCTCCCTCGTCTTCCCTTCTATCGCCAAATGACATACTAGAAAAACAGTCAAAGAGTTACAGTTTTTGATTAAATTTTGACGTATTTTTGACAACTTTTTGCTGGCTTTCTATTTGAACCGGCCAATCAAAACTTGGGAACTGTCAAGGGCAAAGATGTCGAATTGTCAAATTCATTATTCGCTTTCGTGAGAATTTCAAAAACCTCAACCTGCAAATATTTGAAACCAGCGGCAAGTTGTCACAGTTTGGTTAGCCATTTGAAACGGGAGTCAACAGAAGTTGTCACAAACTAATGAAACGTTCCTTAATGACAACGGCAAGGCGCGTAACACTGTAATAGACCAATCTCGATACATTAAGATTCAGCCTAAAACAGTAAACCTCAGGACGAAGCTCTGAGTTTGTGGGGTTTATTCCCCAGAGCCACGTGCTGAGGTCCATTGTTTTAAGCTGAATTTTAATATCTCGAAGTTGGGCTATTAGTCGATAAAAGCGACTAACCTAGGCGGCGTTGCATACGCAATCCACGCGACCTTGAAGCCCCCGGAGGGAGGGGGGACTCCCTTACGTGGGCTATATGGGTATGTGCGGCCCCAAAAGGTATGGTTTTCAGCCGTTTTGGTCATAAATAGGGTATTGTTTTCGGCTATTTTGGTCATATTATGAAAATAGGGTATGGCTTTTGCACTCTACTCTTGAACTGGGTATGTTTTTTTTTTAGAGGAAGCTACTTTTTCACGTCTTGAATAGAGAAGGGAAGTCGCAGGGTTTGGTTATAAATAGGATAAGGGTCTTGGGAAGCGGTTCATAAATTCCTTAGCCCCCCCTCCTTTCTAGCTCTTGCTCTTACTTCTGGTAGAGGGCATTTTCTTCTATTTTTGTAACAGAGAAGCGAGGACTACAACTAATAAAGCAAAAAGAAAGTAAATTACAAAATTTGCATGAAACTGTTAAAACCGCATGTATTCTTAAGTTCTCGAACATTATTAGGGGTGGCGAATGGTCCTTCAGAAACTGTGGGTCTCGTAAAATTTTAGCCAAATTTCACGGGTCTCGCAGTCTCGTTTTTTAGCGGTTATGTGTGTCTCGCAGTCTCGATTTTTTCTACGAAGCTGTCTCGGAGTCTCGATTTTTCGCAAGGCTAAGGGTCTTGAAGTCCGAATTCGTTCCTTAATCTGTTTTATAGATGACGTCTTCCGGCTTCACTTGATATTGAATTTCAATGAAGCAACTTACAAATTTCCGAGAAAAAGTTAATTCTAACTTCTCCTAAATTGTCTTTATCCCCCAAAAAGGTACAAAACCTACCGCAACGCCCGTTTTGACGCCAGAAAAATAGTTATTTTTCTCTAGGATATCATAACGTAGTGTGTTATAATCGAATTTCCAGTTCCAGTCTGTTCCAAGAAGCTGGCTTAAGACTGTACAAGCTCATTCTAGCTCTCAACTAAATCTGGGGCTCGAATTTTAAGAGCCTCATAGCTAAACGCTTTGAAGTCTCGCTCTCGCAATCTAAAAAGTCAAAATGTCTCGGGCTCGCAGAAAAAAAACGCTTGTCTCGCCGTCTCGCAAAGACTCGCATTTACCATTCGCCACCCCTATTATTAAAGACGTCAATTATTTCTCACCTGGACGCGTACTCGACGCTTATTATATATTTGACTATCTTTTGTAATTCGTTCACGGTTGAGGGGAGATTGGATGCTAGTGAAGTGAGGCACCTAGAACTCATGGACCCCAGACGTTTCCCCGCGCGCCAATTTTTCCGCGCGTCTTGACCGCGCGTCTCAATCTACTTCGATGCTAATCCTCCCTCGCTCCGAAAAGACTTGAATAGCGACTGGGTACGAGTTTGCAACCCAACCCACAAAATTGACCACCAAAATTGACTGCCAAACTATGGTTCTGTAATCGCCAATTTTAAGCCCATGTTATTTATATACCTTTGAACCATTGGTGAAGCAGCTGATAGCAGCTTACCTTTCGTACAGT